ATAATAAAAAAAGAATAAATTATAGGAAAAGAAAGGAACTAGGAGGAAAATTTCACCGAAGAGTAAATGTTGATGATATCGGTTTCGCGCTTTAATACTGTTAATACTGTCAGCGATTTGATGGAATTATCAAGCCAATTCAAAGTTATTGGTCCTATTTGTTGAGCCATAATATTCCGCTGTAGTGTAGGAGTTGCAGACATGTATCCCTAGGGCGATTTAGAGGTTTCGCGATTTGCGAAACCGACCACTGGCGAATGCGGATACGCCGTTATATCTATACATTTGTCTACGTATTCATGCCCCAAAACCGTCGATCTCGACCAACGAACCGCGTAATCCTTGACGAGTGAATCTCGTCAATCACGTCCCCGACGCATCGGACGAATCGATACGAATTCACCCGCGGCTACCGCGACACAGTCGCGATTCTCATCCTCGATTCTCCCGTCACGACCGCGAGACTCACGAATCCAATTTTTTTTTAGCTTCAATCGTTTGAATAATAGCTAGCTTTCTCCGAGGAAAGAGAATCCTGTAATTGTGAATCGTTGATTTAATCGCTGAGAAATGGACGAAACGACGAGTCGGTTAAATGTGAATTATAGCATAAGTAGACGTGAACGTACGAGTATCGAAAAGGAGCAAGATAACGTGGCAGATACGCGAATAACGATAAATAATTATCGTCTGACGTCAAGATACCTCGCAAGATGTTTGTCGATATCTTTTCTAGATGATAAATAGAGATGTTTTCCTCAAAGTTTTATTAAAAGCGGGATCTTTCATGTTCTTGATGGATCCACTATCTGACCTCTTAGATGCATCAAAGTCAAAGGTGGATCGCTCGGTAACATAATTTAGAGAGTAGCTTTTAGCTCGCCCGATTTCGGGGGCACAAAGTCAAACCGCGACACTGTCAGAGTTTCACAACGTCAAGTTCCACGGTTGCACGTGCAAAGGACAGGCAGGGAGCAGGTTCGCGAGAGCGGCGGGAGACGTTTCCCCTCTGGAGGAGGTCTCTGCTGGACCAAGGTGGGTACCAGGAGGGTACCGGAGGATACCAGACCCTGGGAGGAAACATGGAGTCCTCTTCTGGGAGCGAGTGCCTTTTTATCTCGCGATATGGCCCGGGGAATGTCATCCAATGAGGGTGAAGTAAAGGGAAACAAGTAAAATAATGATAAAAGGCGGAGCCCGCGGCGTGATTTGATTGGTCGAGATATCGCCGGCGTTCGGAGTCACAACCCGAGGAAGAAGAGGGGGTTGTCCTCTCTCTCCTCTCTCTCTCTTCGTCTCATCTCTGTCTCGCGCCCTAACGCGCGGTCGCTCTCCTCTCTGTCTTTATCTACGGCCTCTCTCTCTCTCTCTCTCTCTCTCTCTCTCGCCTTCCTCCACCGTTTTCTTATCGCACCTTCGTGCCGCCGCGTTGCGTTGCTCTCTGCTTCTCGTTTGCTTTCTCACTCCGTACCCTCTTTATCCTTCTCTTCCTCCTTCGTCCCGTATGTAGAAGCGCATACACGCATATATACAGAGGAAGTTACTTACTTTATTCTCCTCTCTCCGTAGAGGTCCATGGTCCACGATCGTGTCCTGACTCTGGCAGGAGCATCGGTTTTCTTCCCCACCTTCGTGATTCTCCTCCCTTCTTTTCTCCTTTCGTCATCTTCTTCTTCTCTCTTTTCCCCTTTTCTAATTCTCCTCCTCCTCCTCCTCTTCGACGTCATCATTGTTTACGCGGACAAGTTTGAGTACACTGCATGTCGTATAAGTACGTGCACGGGCAGTTGTATTTAAGTAAAATGTAGATTCGTAACAATTCCAGTAAACCTTGAGAAAGAAACGTTGGGCATGGAATAATGTCGTCTTATGAGAGGCGCCGTCTCACGATACTTTCCGCGAAGTGGATCGTAAAAGACAGAGTTAATAAATATCACGCGTTCGATTAATTGCACGTGACAGCAGAACATTTAACAAAATAAATAGCAGACATTTTCTTTTGTTACATTATGTACGTCAACAGAGATAATAGCTTTGAAATCATGTAGTATCGCTTAGCTAATATAAACTAATGTAAGCTTAGCTAATATAATAACCGTTAAAATTAAAAATTATGTTTAATCTATTCTTAGACATCCAATAGCTCCGAAATTTTACTAGGAATATTGTCACTATTCCTCGTGATGGTCAACAAAACGTTTGCGTAATATCGTCCTATGGCATTTTATTTTAGCGCGTTTCTTCATCGTTTCCTCCATCATCTTAAGTAAAGAACAACCATATGCGACGGGCGTAGGTCAAAGAAATGATTAGCGGTCGTAACGAAAATTCAGGGAACTCGTCACGTGTTGCCGCAGTACGAGGGTTTCGTGGCGGAAAAGTATATTGACTCGTGATACGCCATCTGTGCCGAGAGGAGGCACCCTCGCGGCGTTATTGGCAAAATTAATAAGCCCCGCTACATCGCGGTCTGTCGAAACGGGAAGCGGTTAATTCGGCCCGCCGCTCATTGATCCGCTGTGTTGGCAGATTAGAAACGTTTTCCGAACGAATGGAAACTGTTTGCCGGATGGCTTCGACAGGACGGCTTTGTACTCTCTTGCGGGGGGGGGGGAATTATTTCGAAACTCGACCCGACAGCGGAAGCCGCCTCATCTCCCAAAGAAACGATCGCGATGAATGATCACTGTTACAAGCAACGAATCAACATCCAGCAATCGCAAGGATACTTATTTCGATATATTAAGCGAGACGAGTTTTCTGTATACGCGATGTCGACGGTCGTTTGACTAATTGCGAACGCTGATTTGTCGCGGATTGACGTATAACTGATGTATTATTGATATCGTCCTTTTTCAAATGTTCTTTCGGACATAGTTATAAATAAGCGTTAATGATAAAAACTGCGGTGAACGACTGAGAATTCAGCGGCAAATACATTTTGCAATATACGCGACATGAATATAAATCGATTTCATAATTAATTGATAAGGTAATATTAATAATATGATTTTTGCAACATTTTAACAAAATTTCTTGCATTCCGAATAATAAATTTAGATGCTGAATAAATAAAATGTTCGGTAAATAAACTTTACAATTACGCTCACTATAACCAAAAACTTAACAAAAAAATCGAAGAGGTATCAAAGAGGAAAGATAATTTAATAATATATATTTTTTTTAATCCTTTCATTTTTTGAAGTCTTTGCTTTTATCCGGACAAGTAAAGCGCTCATGAATTATTTTCCTGACTTTTACATTATAAGTAAATAATATTCCGAGGTGTAACGATGGATGGAGTACTCTTCATATCCTAATGCGCTCACGCGTGGGTCGTTTGGGAGCAGAACGGTGGCCGACGCGCATTGCGGCGCGGCATCGAAAATTAACGCCACCGCGAATCAAGACGACAATGTGATTCATCAGTTAAATCCGCGTGCATAATCCTTTACACAGCGTCCGATCCCTGGTCCAGCACCGTGAATGGGGTGGATCGTGGGATACGAAGGGAGGGTGGAAGGGAAGAGGGAGTATGCCAGAGAACTAGGAGAGCGGGTGGCTCTGTCAGAGCTGCGAATTATAATCACAGTTGTGGTTGGCGCGATGAGGAGACACCGGTGGTGTGAGGGGTATGCAGTGATGGGCCAGGAGGAGCGAAGGACGATAGCGACGACGAGCGTCCGCTTCCAGGGGAATGGAAAAGGGTGTATTTACCCATCGTCGTACACACCGGCACCGAGGACGGACCTAGATGGAAATCTGCGGCATTCGGAGGCACTGGCCAAGAAAATTGGCTGACAACATTTCGCACGGGCTTTGAATTGCCGAACCGATCTTCTATCCCTCCCCCCTCCCACGTGCCGCACCACTCCCTCTGGACGGTATGACGACGTACGCCCAAATTTGCGGTTCGGTCCGATGCATCTGTACGGATGATGTCTTCTGGTCGTATCTTTTAATAGTTTAAATCAATTCGGAAATATATATTTTTTTTTAAATATACGAAATACTTTAGTATATAATATTAAAATAGAAAACTTCTTACATTTACAAATTATTAAAAATAAAAATTTAAACAAACGAAGAGAAAAAGTCTTCGCTAAGTACTTATTTGGTTTTTTAAACAATTAAAAATGTATATAAATTACTTCACAATTTTCTGCTTAAATTTTAATAGCAGATTCAAATTTTTAGTCTATTCGTGTGAATATAGAACGTAAAATCGCGATATTTTTACTGTGCAAATTACGCAAGGACTAACTAGTGAAGAACTAACTACCATGCGTACAAAGGCACCGTAATGTCAAATAAACGTGCTCAGTCCGATAAAAGGCTTGGAGGCGTTTCCACAGCGGGAAGCTTTAATGAGCGCCTCGTGCCGCCGACAAACGCCGAATCTCGGACAAAATAAATCCGACTTGATTGAATCATTGTCAAGCGAAACCGCGTTAAATACCCGTGAAATTAACCCGGCCAATCCGTGGTCGGCACGCGATCGCTGCTGATTGGTTCGGAGGTATCGCCTTTAAAGCGTCATTAGAGTGCCTCGTGCTGTCGACCGACGATTAATGATGTGTTCGCCAGGATGTGTCCGGCTCAGGTGCCTTTCCGGCCGTAACGTCTTCCCAAAGGAATGAGGGTCGTCCATTTCACGAGAGCGTCATTGGAAAATATGTTTTGCGTTTGACGTTGATGATGAAGTCAGGGTAATTTGCTAAGAAGATTACGCCGACATAATACTTGACATGCTACACGAGTCTATCTCAATGTTACGAAAGATAACACGTTGCGAGGCATAATTATTCAACTTTCCAAAAGCAGAAAATCGCTTTAAACGATTACAGTTCTCTAATATGCCGGGGAGCCATCTGGGAGTTGTAATCTTAATGACCAAATTTAAATTTCACGTTTGATATAATCATTTCTACCTATTCTAAAGTTGTCGGAAGTTAATATTTCTTCATTATCTATCAAGATTTAATTTCTTATTGTTTTAGAAAATGATCATCTTTCGCTTAAGATAAAGTGATAGGATGACAAGGATATTTATACCGACGTGCTCATTCATTTCGTCAGTCGGGAATGTGACGGACCGCACCCGCGGTGAACTCTCAGCGTCAATGAACCGTCACGAATTTGCTGTAGCTGCCAATCTACCGTGACTTAACGAGATCGGCGCACCCGCGAGTCAACATCTCTCCACCGGGAGATCATCGTGTTTTCGTTAGGAACGAGATCGCCCTTTGTCGATGTCTCGTAAGCCTATCCAGCCTCCTCTTCCAGCTTCCATCTCCCGCGCGACTCCATCTTCCAGACGTCATCGTTGCCGACATCCCGTTGTAGTCCGCGGATGGACAGCGATCGAAATTAGGGTGAGTACCATCGCGGTAGCGTGGACATATGGGAGCACCATGTGGTCATCACCGTATCGTTCGTTCGGCCGACGAAAGCCAAAGCCAACCCCCGTGCGCGAACGGGGAGGAGCCGATGGGGGAATGTAGGAAACCGCAGATTTGGCCGGACGGCTAAACGCTCGCCGCAATTTGTAGCAATTTGTTAAGTAGCCAGCCAGAACATTACCTATATTACGCTTACTCCCCCTTGGACCGGACACCAAGATATACGGCGTACGTGCAGATTTATCGTTTCTGCGGAGAGAACGGAGGTTGCGAGATTCTGGGGCGCCGCACCGCGCTTGTTTTAAGTTATTGTGTCGCTTAACCTTTTCTGCAATGCGAAATAGTTGCAGCCGATCAATCCGTTTTATTTACTCTCAATTAAGCTCAATTAATTCGTTATTGTAAATAGCGCATATAATTTTGCTGAAAGATTTAAAAATTTGAGTCAAACATCTAATAAGATGAGTTAAACATCTAGATCTAAAAATTATTTTAAGCCAACAAAATAATTATATAAAGCATTCAAATTTGATTACTAGAATATAAAAAAATTTTGAAGTTTATTAATATGTTTAAATGTTCTACATGAAAATTTTGATGGTCCAACAAAATTATTTCCAACAAAATTACTTTCAGGTTCTATATCAGGTTAAATTTTTCGATATTTCATTAAAGCCGTTCTTTGTATGTAAGTACAGTTTAGATAACGCTAGCTTCTACATAATAATTATCTTTTCAAATTTTGTACTTTTATAAAACATCAAAGTCACTGGCCATATATAAATCAGCTTGCGAATAAATTAGCTTGCGAATAAATTAGCTTGCGATTGAATTATTACACCGTGGTGCAACTTTAGGAAAATTCAAACAAATATCTCGTTTGAACCATAATTAATCAATCGTAAAGTGTATTCAAATTAAAGATCAAGAGCACTTCAACTTCTTGATACTTTTTCTTGAAGATCAAGCGAGTCAAGAGACGCGGCAAGAGAAATCGGCGGACAACGAAGCTTTTTTTTGACTGCGTCTCTAGGATCGCGGGGGATAATTTAAATCGAAGGTAAACGTCAAGAGCACTCGCTTTATCTCCGTCCATCTCGTCTTCGTGACGAGTGGCTCCCTGCTCTTCACGAATAAGAGGAGCTTCCATAACGGCGTAGATTCGAGAATAAACCGAAACGACTTCGGCCGCCTCCGCGGAATGCTTTTAGTCGATGAGTTTGCTTCCCTATATATCCCGTGTCGTTTTCGTCTCGTTCCGCGTACCGTCGTACTGTCCTAGCCTAACTCAGCTTTCTCATCCATATGTAACAGTCGCCTGGTATTAATGACAAGGGGAGAGAACGAGTAGGACACGAGTAGGTGGGTTCTTTATCCTACAAGGGACTGTCCTTCTTCGGCCGCGGACTACTCCAGATTTCCCTTGCGCTTACACGCTATTGCAGTTTTATCGTTGTCCTTTCATTATCTGATAAATGTAATGGAATTGTTTACTGTTCGCAGTTTGCTCGCCTGTTACGTCGCAACTCGCAACAGAAATCGTGATTCGTAAAAAGGCGATATAACGAATTAATATAATTAATTAATTAAATAATATATTTTACAAATGGGCTAAACAAAAAAATACATTTTAAAATGATTTAAATTTTTAACGTTGTTTTTTTAACGTTTTCAATGTTTTAGAAAATTAAATGTATATATAAAATAGCTTTTTAATTGTATTAAATATGTATATATCATATATACTTTAATAAAGCGATCAAAGAAAATAATGATTACAAAAAATATAAATAATAAATGAGTGACGAAATATGTGTCGAATTATATTTGAGCCACCCATTCGCCAAAAAATTGCCAACATCCGCTCGCTGATTATTTTTCATGGAACCCGAATGATATATACTTCTCAGATCAGACAATGATTTTACGGCTGAATGCAACATCGATTGATATTTATGAGAATCAATGAATAATTATAACTTCCTTTTTGAAAATTAGTTCAAAAAAATTGTGACCCCCCCAATAGAAAGCGTCAAAAGCATAATTTTAGATTTAGATTTAGAAAAAATTCGTTAACAAATTCTAGAATCACTTCAACTATATTGGACCACCCAGCCGATGTTATTTGTCATTACAAAACAAAATAATTCCTGAGACATTTTGATGCTCTTGAAATTTTCATGCTCACAACTTTCCCCGTTTTCCTCGCGCGTGGAATCTCGTAGAGATCTTGAAGCAACGCATCTGAATGTGATCGGCGCTTTTGTGAGTCGCACGCATATATGTCAGAATTAGTGGCACAGGTTGAAAGCGGAAGAGACAAACGGGGTGAAGAAAAGAGGAGGCGACGTCAGGGTCACCCAGCCGTTCTCTGTCGTCGCGTTCGTAAGTATTTGATAAACGGCCGGCAATCGGTTAGTCTTTTTAAACGACTCGTGATGACGGATCTCCACCTGCGAGTCGGTGGCACTCCAGCTGACCGGCGACAATGAGATGAAAGAAGAAGGTCGAAAGGGATTTCTATGGACGAGCGGGTGTTTGTCTGGTTCAATAGGCTCTTCGTTCGTCGACATCAGTTACGCTGTATCATTGGCCGGTTTTTTTCTTGGATAAGTATCGTTCGCAATATCTTGTGATTTGTTTTCTTTTTCATAAAGTGACGACTAAAAAATGTTGAAAACGTAATATTACAAATTACAGTTTAAGAGTTAACAATTTTTCGAATAAAATTGATTTTTACATAAAAGAATCGGCAACCATTTTAATAATATATAATAATATTTCACACACAATTCTCATAATTTATTCTTATAATTCAAAAAATTTAATAATATTAAAATTATTTGTTTAACTATAATGTTAATGAGTATGCAAGATTTTCGTAAGAATCAAACATGATACCCTAAGCAATGGTAAATGTGTTAATATCTTTCGTATTAGTCGCCATTTGTCAAGATCTCTTCGGTGTTGGTTGACATAAGGTACCATTAACAGCTAAGTAGGAACAATTCGATTCGCGACCATTGAGAATGGTCCCAGTGCTGCAGTTAGTCCTGTGCAAATTGTCACCGTCTCTCTCTCCGCCTGATGCTTTCTATCTCTTCCCTTTTTTCTTCCTATGTCTCTTTCTCTTTCTCTCGATGGGTATCAACCGTACAAATTACATGTGGCAAGAACTCCATGCGTCCTCGGGCACCGAATTGAGTACCCCGCGGGTCCGTCGGGTGTATCGAGAGAGAAACGAGGAGAGGGAGTCAAGACTCGAACATGTGGCATCATTTGTTACGTGCAAAATGGGGTTCTCAAGCCCATCACAGTATGCCTTATCTAAGCTCGGTTAAAAGCGCCTACGTATCCGGAAATCCAAAGGCGTAAAGGCGCAAAAGATCGTTCAAGCATGTAAACAATTCGCCGTCTCCTGTTAGCTCTTCGAGGAAGGGATGGCAATTCGATTTCGACCGAAAGAAATAACTACAATGTGACTGAGATAATTCACGACTACAAGCCACAATATTCTTCAGTTTTTTTTGGGAATAACTCATAA